TTTTTTTTTTTTTTTTTATATTCACATAACGAAGTTATTTTATTAACAAGTTTGAATTATAAATTAAGATTTACTATTATTTATAGTAATAAATTATGCTAACTTTTTTTGGCATCATTGATCATGTAAATAGCAATACGTCTTATGGTTATAAAATTAAACCGGCTTGTATATTAAAAACGATTAATTATAATTACAATTATAATATATTAGTAGAAAATTGTTATTAAAATAAAAATGATAATAATTATAAATATTATTATTATGAAATTGAGTGCCCTTTTAATGCTGATCAAAATTGACTTTTTCATTGTTTAGCGTGTGGAAGAATGTATGATTTGTAAGTGAATAATACATATTAATGATAAAGTGATTCGAACTTGTGACATGGTTCAACGTCCTAGAATATACAATCAATTAAATAATAAAAATATTGATTGAAAATGAAAATTCTAATCAAATCGAATATTTATAAATATATGAATGATAATATTTAACAATTGTAAATTTAAAAATATTAATGACTAAGATTAAAATGCGGAATAGCGATTTGTTAGAAGTATTCATCGGTTAATTGTAATGTACAGATAAATGATAAAATTTGAGAAGAAAAGTTATTATTATACAAAAATAAATTAATTGTAGTGTTTATTAATTAAAGTAACGAGTGATAATAATTTTAATGTAACATTAACCGATGTAAGTGAATTAATAATAATTAGTAAATGAAAATGATTAAAATAAATTTCTGAAGTTCATTATTTACATTCATGTTTAAATTTTTTTTTTTTTAATTAAAAAAACACTCACTTTTTCGTTTATATTAGTTTTTTTAAATATTTATTTCTATCGTTGGTTTCTGTTGAAATAAAAAAAAAATTATTTTACAGATACTCAATTTATTTTTTATTTTGGTGTTATTAAGTAAAACTGCTAGTTGTTTAGCCTGTTTTATCATAATTAACTATGAATGAAAATAATATAAAAAATAATATCGCGTGGATTATTATTAAAAGTCATAGTTATGTATTAAATATAATTTTTGTAGTTTATAGTGGTTGTTTTTATATATATGTTCAAGCATATATACATGCTTAACGATAGTTGGATTATAAATAACGTATTTTTTTTTTTTTTTTTATATTCACATAACGAAGTTATTTTATTAACAAGTTTGAATTATAAATTAAGATTTACTATTATTTATAGTAATAAATTATGCTAACTTTTTTTGGCATCATTGATCATGTAAATAGCAATACGTCTTATGGTTATAAAATTAAACCGGCTTGTATATTAAAAACGATTAATTATAATTACAATTATAATATATTAGTAGAAAATTGTTATTAAAATAAAAATGATAATAATTATAAATATTATTATTATGAAATTGAGTGCCCTTTTAATGCTGATCAAAATTGACTTTTTCATTGTTTAGCGTGTGGAAGAATGTATGATTTGTAAGTGAATAATACATATTAATGATAAAGTGATTCGAACTTGTGACATGGTTCAACGTCCTAGAATATACAATCAATTAAATAATAAAAATATTGATTGAAAATGAAAATTCTAATCAAATCGAATATTTATAAATATATGAATGATAATATTTAACAATTGTAAATTTAAAAATATTAATGACTAAGATTAAAATGCGGAATAGCGATTTGTTAGAAGTATTCATCGGTTAATTGTAATGTACAGATAAATGATAAAATTTGAGAAGAAAAGTTATTATTATACAAAAATAAATTAATTGTAGTGTTTATTAATTAAAGTAACGAGTGATAATAATTTTAATGTAACATTAACCGATGTAAGTGAATTAATAATAATTAGTAAATGAAAATGATTAAAATAAATTTCTGAAGTTCATTATTTACATTCATGTTTAAATTTTTTTTTTTTTAATTAAAAAAACACTCACTTTTTCGTTTATATTAGTTTTTTTAAATATTTATTTCTATCGTTGGTTTCTGTTGAAATAAAAAAAAAATTATTTTACAGATACTCAATTTATTTTTTATTTTGGTGTTATTAAGTAAAACTGCTAGTTGTTTAGCCTGTTTTTCTAGAAAAGTAGGAAAGTAGAATTAAAAGTAAAGGAAGAAATATTAAAACTCAACATAAAAATTACTTGATATTTGTTTTTTTAATATTTACTAAAATATTAAGTTAAAAATTTTATGATTTAGTTGAATTGAATCTTAAAGATTAAATATATGATACTAATGTTAGCAGACGTCTAAAAATTTTTGATTTATTTTTATTAATTAAATTACAACTAAAAAGATATTTATAAAAAATTGCACTTATAGTTTTTCGAGTTTTTTTACATGTGAAATGTTTTTTTTTAATTGTTTAATTGAAATTTTTTAATGTCGGCTAACTTCATTTTCATTTAAATATTTGTATTTGAATAAAATACTAAAAGACGTGTTTACTTTAAAGTATGTTTAGTTAGTAGTAAGTAAAAAACTCACGTCTAATAAGTTTTTAAATTAATGATAACATTTATTACTTAATTTATTTATTGATACTGAAAGAACATTATTGATAAATAAATTGATCTATTTTGAGTTAATTAATTGAGAGTTAATATTAAAAATGTGAATTTTGTTTTCGATTTCGCACTCTTGCTGCGTTACTTATTTAGTTACGCTTGCGCGAAATACCGCAAGCTCGTGAGCTTCGACGTCCAGAAATTTATAATACTTGTCTCAGTCGCGACCCGAAATCGACGCGATTCGCTCTTACATCCGACCTTTATGACCATTATAACGATCTTTATTTATTACCGAGTTGTAGAAAAATTAACTCATATAATTTAAATTATTTAAATAGTAATACATAAATTAATTAAAAAAAAAATATTTATTTTGTGGTAAATCTGTGGCTGTAAATAATTTAATTAAAATGAAGAATATATAAACAAATAAAACTAAGTGAACAAATAATTAAAAACTAAGTCACAGTGGGATTGTTTTCTACTGAAGTTTCCTTAATTCGAGTAACTTAATTTGCCTTCAAGTGGAAGTTTCTGTTTTCAAAGTTTATTTAGTGAAACAACTAAAACTAAAAGTAACTGAAAGGTAAAAACAACATAAAATCTCGAAAGAAGAAAACAGATCATAGGAAGTCAGTGAAAAGCGTAAAGGCAAGAGAAAGCTCACAACCAACAGGTGGGCGGTAATACGCGTGACTATTACATTCATGAGCTTTAAAAACTTTTTCAAAGCCAGCCAAAAAATAAAAATAATATTTCATCGTTTAAAAATATATGTTGCCATTTTTTATAAATGTATTACACTTTTTTTCGAACATAGAAAAATAAAATAAATAAAAAACGGTGAAAACTTTATAATATAAAATATGTTGGTAGATTAAAAGTATGAAAAAGCTTTTTACAGCTAAAATTCTCGTTGCTCTTTATTAAAATCAAAGGAATTTAAGGGTGAAAAAAAAAAATTAGTAATAAAAATAATAATCCAATCCTTTGTTCTCTGTAATTTTGACAAAATGAGTTTAAGTATTATAATATCCAAAGGAATAGCAGAAGAATTAATAAAAATGTATTTATTCAAATAACGGAGATTAAATATGCGCAACTCATCAATTTATAAAAGAGTATAAAATTCTGACTGTCGTATTTGTTTTTCTTTTATTTTTATTTTTATTATACAACTTTTGCCTTCGTAACGAGCTGCTTAAAAATAAATCCGTCGGATTTAACAGCAAATGAATAAACCAACTCAAAATGAACATCACACCAACTTTATTATTATTAAATTTAACAAGCTTACATCACAATAATAATATAAATATTTTATTAAACAATAGTGTTACACAATATGGTGAAGAATTTACAACTAGTTTGTATATAAAATTAATATTTTATTTTTTATATTCATTAATTTTCATCCTGGGAGTTTTTGGTAATATTTTAGTGTGTTATGTTGTAGCGCGCAATCAAGATATGCAAACAGTTACTAATTTATTTATCACAAATTTGGCGGTGAGTGATATATTACTGTGTATGTTAGCAGTACCATTAACACCGTTGTACACATTTTTGGGTGGTTGGGTGTTTGGTGAAAGTTTGTGCCATTTGTTACCCTATGCTCAGGGTGTAAGCATTTATATAAGTACATTGACTCTAACGAGTATTGCAATTGATAGATATTTAGTTATTATTTATCCTTTTCGGCCGCGCATGCAAGTAATGACATGCAAAGGAATAATAGTAATTATATGGATAGTAGCATTAGTACTCACTCTTCCGTACGGTATCTATATGGGCCTTGAAAAATATCAATATTGTGAAGAAAATTGGCCTACAGATAATTTTCGTCTGCTATTTAGCTCAATAACTTGTATTTTTCAATTTGTTATACCATTTTTCTTGATAGCTTTCTGCTATATTTGTGTGTCCATTAAATTAAATGATCGTGCTAAATCAAAACCAGGATGTAAAACAAGTAAACGTGAAGAAGCTGACAGAGAGAGAAAAAAACGCACTAACCGTATGTTGATAGCCATGGTGACTATTTTTGGTGTCTGCTGGATGCCGCTCAACATTAACAATATTTTGGATGATATTTACGATTTTTCATCACATTGGTCTTATTATTATTTGTGTTTCTTCATGGTTCACTGTATTGCGATGTCTAGTACATGTTACAATCCATTTCTTTACGCTTGGCTTAACGACAATTTCCGGAAGGAGTTTAAAAAGGTAAGGAGTTGATGCTCTTTAAAATATTGTAAGAAAAAAAGATTTCTTGACTGGAGAATAAAATTTTTGGCTCAAGTGAATTTTCGGGTGCCCGAAGGAAGATCAAAATTGTCTTGGCCGAAGTAAAAATTTTTATTGAAATTCTATTCTTGGTGGAAGTCATTTTTCTTTATTCAAATTATCATAAATACTTGATACAATAAATTTTTATATTGGATCAAGATTTTTAGATACTTTAGGGAAGCAGCGCCACCTACTTCAGCTGAGAAAAAAATTTTCTTGGCTTGAGAAAATTTTTCTCGAGAATATTTCATACCCATTTTAGATTATTTTAGCACGCAATTATACATATTGAATGAAAGAAAATGGTTCAATATTATTTGATCTTCCCATTTGACATGTTCGTCAATAAAAATATTAATGAAAATTTATTATCGAGATATTTAATTTTTTGGAGCAAGAGAAAAATTTTCTCAAAACAAGAAATTGTCTTGGATCAAGATATACGTATTTCTTGAAGCAAGAGAATTAATTTTGTTGGAATAAGTGAAATTTCTTGTGTCAAAAAAAATTTTCTTGATTCAAGTGAACCATTCTTTCTGTATACATCGATACTGCTATTCTAATACGTCGTATCCCACATTTAGAAAATTTTACAGCAGACGGTAAAAACAGTTTATTTTTAAAATTGACTAGAAAATCGAGCGCGCATTTCGCGCTTCTGTCAAAATATTTGTTATCGTTATCGACAATTTAACTAATCAATATTTTTATAAATTTTATTCATTAATATATAACCGTTGCTATGGTACTCGTTGCTATAGTAACCGTTGCCATGGTAATTGTTGCCAAAGTGGTTACCATAGCAACGAAAAGCGACAGCAATAAAAATGTCACATCAACTTTTTTATTATTAAACTATTTGACCTTTAAATTTTTAATATGACTTGCATAATATTGTTGTGATTCTATTTTTCAAAAAAAGTCAATATGTCAAATTTTGTGGGATGTGACGTATTAGAAAGGCAGTATCGATATTCTTCTTGAAGATATATATATATATATATATATCTGTATAATTTCAACTACGTAATGAACCACTCGTCTAATTAGCGATATTGAATTTTGTCTACTTAGGTATTGCCCTGTATTTCAAGATTCTCAACAACAAATTTTATGTCTGGGACAACGGAACCTTACAGAAGTGAAAGACTCTGTAATGGCAACGACGCTATACAAGAGAATTTATTGAACAGTTTGGCATCTAAATTCAACCCTAATGTTACTGAAGAGAGTATACAACTTGAATCAAGACCAGCGTCACCATTTCAACCCAATGAACGTATTATCAATGAATTTACGGATGTTGAAGATGTACGTTTATAGAATTCTAAATTTATCATCCTAATTCCACGTAAGTTTCCAGGTGTTATTATTATTATTATTATTATTATTATTATTATTATTATTACTAAAGACATAGTTCTACTTTCTCGATGAATTACATTCACTGATAGATTTATTAATTAATTAATATTTAATAAATGAATATCAGATTTATTAAATACAAATAAATCATTTTAAATACTAAGAAATATTTGTTCAATACTAAAAAGTGGTCTCTAATAAATGATTTGTTAACTATTAACAAATATTTTTTAATACAAATAAATCCTTCTATCAGTGTACATTACATTATTTTGAACAGTATTTTTTATCATCTTTTAGGTATCTTTTTCATCTTAAAAATAAAAAAAAAAAAAAATGTAATAATAATAATAATGAAATGAAAAATGTATGGACATATGTGTGATGCATAAATACATATAACTATTATCATATGTAGATGTATGCATGTAAGTGGAAGTACGAAGGTGTATAAAAGTCAAGAGGCGTTGAAAAGTCGGAAGGTTGATATGAAGGATGCAATTTTTCTTAAGTCCATTGAACAACTCAAAAAGCTTGGAGTTTTATCACTATACATTATATATTATATACAACTCTATAAATACTACTACTACCCCTAAAAGAACTATAGAAGAAGATTCTTTTCATGTCTTTCTCTCACGTAACGTCAAAGTACATTGATGCACACGGACGTGCTTACTTATGTATGTAATATACATTTTATTAGATTTATCTTGTGATAGTTTTACTTTTGTCTAATGCAGTTTCCAGAGAGAAAAAAATATACTTTATTTTTCATGGTAAATGATATGATATATAAATGACTAATTGTCATATTTATATGCATGTGTAAATGTGAATATTGATTCGTGATGGTACGTTAAATTTTAATGAGACAAGTCCTCTCTGTTACCGTTCTTAAAAATTCTTATGTCTATTTCTCTCGACTCGACCCTCTAGCTTGTTTCATGTGTCATGTATTAGGGGTGAAAAAAATTCATATATATATTTTTTTTTGACATCTAATAATCATTGTATGATTGGTGTAAAAGTTGAAAAAAGTTTGTTGTTTCATTTAATATTTTATTGGGCAGCGAGGGATGAAACAAGACGTTTTTTGCCGAGGGTGAGTGTTGATTGACCGAGCGAACCAAGGGCTGAAATGACCCACAGTTTTAAATCATATATCAACCTGTGACACATACTAAATTTTTTTATATCACTCGTATTGTATTGAACTTAAAGTTTTAGTGTTTGTAAACAGTTGAAACAAGATAATTTAGAGCGGAAGTAAATATTTAACTTGAAAACTTGGTTAGTTATTTTGAGGTTTACAATAAACAAACGTGACTTTGTTACAATGGAAATGAAGTCAAAAGTGAAAATATCGTCGGCAGAAATAAATACATTTCTTCCCTAGAGACAAAACTCATTAGCTTCTGACCGCTAATTCGCATTACACCGAAATTATCTTGTTTCGAATGATCAAACAGACATTAATTAAAATTTCGAGATGCATTGCAGATGATATTAAAATAATGCCAATTATTAATGAAAACCTGTATAATATGTCATAAAATCCTTCATATTATTAAAAAGTAATTTTTTATGCGACATAAATGGTACTATAATTTTTTTAATTTAAAAGAATATCATTCATTTTTCAAAACATGAAATGTTTATTCAAGATTAAAGTTATTGAGTCACTTAAAATGAATTTGAAAAAATTATTTATGCAGAAGGAAAACAGTGTGAAATTGTCAGTTGTTAAATTATTCAACACACAGACCAAATATTTGAAGTTTCTGTTATCTAAATTAAACTTTTTATTTAAATTGCCCTTTCAATAAATTATTTTCCCTATGAAACAACAAAAAATTTTTTAAAAAACAAACCAACATCGGTTTTTGCTTTATTTTTTTTATTTAATAAATTTGCGTATGCATACCTTTAGGCATTTAAATAATTTAATAAAAAAGATCATGTAACTAAAAAAAACAGTACAATCTGACAGCAATTTTTTATACTTGCATAGTTTTTCAACTGCAGTAGTTGATCTGGTTAAAGAGCTTTAAACTGTACACTGGTGATACCTTTCATTTCTCACTTATACATAGCGCAACATGGTAATTTTTTAAAAGATATTTAATTCATAGAAAACTTCATAAATTGAAATTGAAATGATATCACTGTTTAATCCTGAATTATGATGTAAACTGTAATTTTCTTCCTTACAAGTGTGAAAGTTAAAATAATAATAAAAATATTAAAAACAATCACTACTATTAGTTTAAAAACAGCGAAAAATATTTTTTTAGGAATTTATTATTCATGAGAAACAAAAATTCATTATCAAACAAACCAAAAACTCATCCAATATTTATGATTTTTTTGTCCGTGGGTAATTCGTTACGAAACCACATGAATAATTTATAAATAAACACTTTATTGATTGTACAAAATATAAAATTTAAACTCTATTATTACAAGAATAAAATTTTTTCTCTCATTTAAACTTTTCACTTATGTACAGTAGTAGCTAAATGAGAATCATAGAATGAAAAGGCCAATAATTGGTGTGAAAAATTATTATGTTGATAATTTAATTTTTAACCATGCACGAGTTTTGATAACTTTGTGTTTTTTATTCTTTCATTGCGTGACATGAATTTAAATTGAACGAGTTATCCAATCGTTCATTCATTCATTCATTTGAATATAATAACAAATTTAAATGACTTTATTATTCGATATTTTATTTAAATTTAGGTTTTTTATTTACAACTCTGCTTTAGTTTTATTATAAAATCTTTTTTTTTTTTTCTAATATTTATTATTATATTGAAGAATTTAAGCACTATTGATTGAATGAACAATAGATGAAATATTATGAGGTTTTGATAATATTATATTATTTAGCTTATTTTATCTTTACGCTTGTATGGTTCGACTAATTAACGATTAATATTATAGCATAAATATCAATGGTTTCTATTTAACCGAGAATGATTAGTATGTATCCACTATATGAGAGTTTGAAACTAATTTTCTACATAGAGCTTATAATGTTGTGTTTAAATAAGCGATCATAGATAATAACGAATATTATGTTACATAATTATTGAGAATATACGCACACTATATAAATATATAACATTATGGATCCTAAAAATTTTAATTAGACATCGTGTTTATAATTATCAATTGTTTGGACTTTTGATAGTGAATAAAAATTTTCTTTAAAGATTCAGAGATACAAAAAAAATTTATTAGAAGCTTTTTTTTCAACGAAAATGAAATTTTCTTACAAAAAATGATTCATACAATTTCTTCCTACACGGAAAAAAGTAAACTGTAATATTCACTCGGATTCCGGTTAATTTTTATAGTTTCAAATAGTAAAGCGCACATCTGGGTGGCAAAAATACAAATTTTACAGAACTTAATGTAGAAAGTATAAAAGCCACAGTTTATAATTTAATATCCAAAATAAGTGATTAGTAGCTGTCACTATAGTAAATAATGACTCTATCATTTTAAAAAATTACAGTTTCAAACAGTAAAAATTCTCATTTCCCTCCCTATATATACTCCATATTATGAAGAGAAGGAGAACTCAGATGAAAGAGAAAGGGGTTTCACTCTGGGAGAATTTAACATTTGAAACAGTAAAAATTATACTTTTAAAATATACATTTTACCAGTCCAAGCAAGTCAATAATTACAGTTTGATTTTTAGCGTTGCGTTTAAAATTTACCATTTTACTTTGTAAATATTGACGTTGCTTGTATTAGAAATTTTATACTTTTTATATATCATAAGATCATTTTTTAGGTACAAAATGATAAATATCAAAGTCTGAATTCTTAAGTATTATACTTTAACATTTTAGACATTTACATAGCGAATATTACTGTTTGAAATAGTATTTTCTTCCATGTAAAGAGTAAATTGTAACGTTTAAATTGTTAAATATTACAATGTGAATAGTAAAATCTCGATTTTACTGTTCGAAATAGTAATTTTTAGCAGTTGATCACTACTTATTATAAATCGACTGTTATTTATTGCAGTTTACTTTTTTCGGTGTATCATCAACAATGATAATCTCAAAATTTAAAAATAATATTTTTACAAGTAAAATTTGATGTGAAAAATTTTATCGAGTGGAAAAACATTGTAGGAGCTTACGAGTATCCAAAAGAATCCAGATAAATTCATGGGTGAATTTCAGTATCGATTTTCAAGACAGTGATGGTTAATGATGTTCAATTTTTTATAAACTAAAAAAATTGGTTTAAAAATATATACGCGTACATATAAATATGTATATTAAGGCACATATATATTTCGGTAGGCAATTTATTATAAAGTAGGTTCTTGACGTCTTGATAGACTGTTATTTATTCAGTGGCAGAAAAATAAAATCCTAGCTATACGATTAACTTGATCTATCAATGATATATTGTAGAGGAAAAGGGGACACAGATGCGGTTTATACAGAAATGAAATGAAAAAAAAAGTAAAATAAAGATGAGGGTAAAAGTTAGCTCAAAGGCAAAATATGGCTAAAATAGGTGCTTGTGAGTGGCAGTAGTTACTAAACTTTACGACACGCCTAGAAAGTAGTAAAACCTTAATGCTCACTGACATTCGCATTATCAGCAGACTCAATAAATCCGTATTCGTTAGATAGAAAAACGAATAAGTTTATATAATCTATATCAATTGGATTTTACTACTTTTTCTTGCTTTAATCTTTCCTTTCTCTTCATATTCTTTGACATTTTATAGAAAAAAAAAAAAATAATATTTATAAACTCAACCTTAATTGAACAAAACAATTACTGCGTTAGCAATTAGGCTTGACGCACAAATATTGAAACTGAGTTAATTATTGAATTTGACAGAGACAGAAGTAAATGGACTTAATCAGATCGTGGAATTCATGTTAAATCCCTTTGTTCCAGCGATTATATGTTGTGTGTTGGGTACCAATATATGCAGTAGTAATCCCATGAAACTCACATCACGTAGTCGCTAGATTTATTGAAATGGCGTATAGTTTAATTCTT